AAAACCTCTTTCAGCCTTCCTGAAAGCCTCCTGGAAACGAATTTGTTCGACTAATATAAGGGGGGATGAAGAGGCTCAAAGCCTCTTTCAGCCTTCTTGAAAGCCTCCTGGAAACGAATTTGTTCGACTAATATAAGGGGGGATGAAGAGGCTCAAAGCCTCTTTCAGCCTTCTTGAAAGCCTCCTGGAAACGCATTTGTTCGACTAATATAAGGGGGGATGAAGAGGCTCAAAGCCTCTTTCAGCCTTCCTGAAAGCCTCCTGGAAACGAATTTGTTCGACTAATATAAGGGGAGATGAAGAGGCTCAAAGCCTCTTTCAGCCTTCTTGAAAGCCTCATGGAAACGAATTTGTTCGACTAATATAAGGGGGGATGAAGAGGCTGAAAGCATCTTTCAGCCTTCTTGAAAGCCTCCTGGAAACGAATTTGTTCGACTAATATAAGGGGGATGAAGAGGCTCAAAGCCTCTTTCAGCCTTCTTGAAAGCCTCCTGCAAACGAATTTGTTCGACTTAATATAAGGGGGAAGAAGAGGCTCAAAGCCTCTTGTCAGCCTTCTTGAAAGCCTCCTGGAAAAAACGATTTGTTGCGACTAATATAAGGGGAGATGAAGAGGCTCAAAGCCTCTTTCAGCCTTCTTGAAAGCCTCCTGGAAACCAATTTGTTCGACTAATATAAGGGGGGATGAAGAGGCTCAAAGCCTCTTTCAGCCTTCTTGAAAGGCCCAGAGAGCCTTCCGAATTGGTTCCAGAGCTCAGACCTGCTCAGGAGGAATTTGTTCTACCTATATGAAAAGTTCCAGAGCTCTTTGTTCGACTAATATAAGGGGGGATGAAGAGGATCAAAGCCTCTTTCAGCCTTCTTGAAAGCTTCCTGGAAACGAATTTGTTCGACTAATATAAGGGGGGATGAAGAGGCTCAAAGCCTCGTTCAGCCTTCTTGAAAGCCTCCTGGAAACGAATTTGTTCGACTAATATAAGGAGGGATGAAGAGGCTCAAAGCCTCTTTCAGCCTTCTTGAAAGCCTCCTGGAAACGAATTTGTTCGACTAATATAAGGGGGAGTGAAAAGGCTCAAAGCTTCTTTCAGCCTTCTTGAAAGCCTCCTGGAAACGAATTTGTTCGACTAATATAAGGAGGGATAAAGGGGCTCAAGCCCTCTTTCAGCCTTCTTGAAAGCCTCCTGGAAACGAATTTGTTCGACTAATATAAGGGGGATGAAGAGGCTCAAAGCCTCTTTCAGCCTTCTTGAAAGCCTCCTGGAAACGAATGTGTTCGACTAATATAAGAGGGGATGAAGAGGCTCAAAGCCTCTTTAAGCCTTCTTGAAAGCCTCCTGGAAACGAATTTGTTCGACTAATATAAGGGGGGATGAAGAGGCTCAAAGCCTCTTTCAGCCTTCTTGAAAGCCTCCTGAAAACGAATTTGTTCGACTAATATAAGGGGGGATGAAGAGGCTCAAAGCGTCTTTCAGCCTTCATGAAAGCCTCCTGGAAACGAATTTGTTCGATTAATATAGGGGGGGATGAAAAGGCTCAAAGCCTCTTTCAGCCTTCTTGAAAGCCTCCTGGAAACGAATTTGTTCGACTAATATAAGGGGGGATGGAGAGGCTCAAAGCTTCTTGCAGCCTTCTTGAAAGCTTCCTGGAAACGAATTTGTTCGACTAATATAAGGGGGGATGAAGAGGCTCAAAGCCTCTTTCAGCCTTCTTGAAAGCTTCCTGGAAACGAATTTGTTCGACTAATATAAGGGGGGATGAAGAGGCTCAAAGCCTCTTTCAGCCTTCTTGAAAGCCTCATGGAAACGAATTTGTTCGACTAATATAAGGGGGGATGAAGAGGCTCAAAGCCTCTTTCAGCCTTCTTGAAAGCTTCCTGGAAACGAATTTGTTCGACTAATATAAGGGGGGATGAAGAGGCTCAAAGCCTCTTTCAGCCTTCTTGAAAGCCTCCTGGAAACGAATTTGTTCGACTAATATAAGGAGGGATGAAGAGGCTCAAAGCCTTTTTCAGCCTTCTTGTAAGCCTCCTGCAAACGCTTCGTTCGATATATAAGAAGGGGATGACGAGGCTTCAAAGCCTCTTGCAGCCTCCTTCAAAAGCCTCCTGGAAACTAATTTGTTCGACTAATATAAGGGGGGATGAAGAGGCTCAAAGCCTCTTTCAGCCTTCTTGAAAGCCTCCTGGAAACGAATTTGTTCGACTAATATAAGGGGGTATGAAGAGGCTCAAAGCCTCTTTCCGCCTTCTTGAAAGCCTCCTGGAAACGAATTTGTTCGACTAATATAAGGGGGGATGAAGAGGCTCAAAGCCTCTTTCAGCCGTCTTGAAAGCCTCCTGGAAACGAATTTGTTCGACTAATATAAGGGGGGATGAAGAGGCTCAAAGCCTCTTTCAGCCTTCTTGAAAGCCTCCTGGACGCGAAGTTGTTCGATAAGATAAGGAGGGGGGGATGAGAAGCTCAAAGCCTCTTCAGCCTTCTTGAAAGCCTCTCCTGGAAACGGGGGAATTTGTTCGAGCTAAATCCGGGGGATGAAGAGGTTCAAATCCTCTTTCAGCCTTCTTGAAAAGCCTCCTGAAACGAATTTGTTCGACTAATGTAAGGAAGGGATGAGAGCTCAAATCCTCTTTCAGCCTTCTTGAAAGCCTCCTTGAAACGAATTTGTTCGACTAATATAAGGGGGGATGAAGAGGCTCAAAGCCTCTTTCAGCCTTCTTGAAAGCCTCCTGGAAACGAATTTGTTCGACTAATATAAGGGGGGATGAAGAGGCTCAAAGCCTCTTTCAGCCTTCTTGAAAGCCTCCTGGAAACGAATTTTTTCGACTAATATAAGGGGGATGAAGAGGCTCAAAGCTTTTTTCAGCCTTCGTGAAAGCCTCCTGGAAACGAATTTGTTCGACTAATATAAGGGGGGATGAACGAGGCTCAAAGCCTCTTTCAGCCTTCTGAAGCCCAGAGAGGCTTCGATTGGTTCAGACTCATACCTGCTCAGGAGAATTGTTCTACCTCTATGAAAAGTTCCCGATCTCTTTGTTCGACTAATATAAGGGGTGAGGAAGAGGCTCAAAGCCTCTTTCAGCCTTCTTGAAAGCCTCCTGCAAACGAATTTGTTCGACTAATATAAGGGGGGATGACGAGGCTCAAAGCCTCTTTCAGCCTTCCTGAAAGCCTCCTGGAAACGAATTTGTTCGACTAATATAAGGGGGGATGAAAAGGCTCAAAGCCTCTTTCAGCCTTCTTGAAAGCCTCCTGGAAACGAATTTGTTCGACTAATATAAGGGGGGATGAAGAGGCTCAAAGCCTCTTTCAGCCTTCTTGAAAGCCTCCTGGAAACGAATTTGTTCGACTAATATAAGGGGGGATGAAGAGGCTCAAAGCCTCTTTCAGCCTTCTTGAAAGGCCCAGAGAGCCTTCCGAATTGGTTCCAGAGCTCAGACCTGCTCAGGAGGAATTTGTTCTACCTATATGAAAAGTTCCAGAGCTCTTTGTTCGACTAATATAAGGGGGGATGAAGAGGATCAAAGCCTCTTTCAACCTTCTTGAAAGCTTCCTGGAAACGAATTTGTTCGACTAATATAAGGGGGAATGAAGAGGCTCAAAGCCTCTTTCAGCCTTCTTGAAAGCCTCCTGGAAACGAATTTGTTCGACTAATATAAGGGGGGGATGAAGAGGCTCAAAGCCTCTTTCAGCCTTCTTGAAAGCCTCCTGGAAACGAATTTGTTCGACTAATATAAGGAGGGATGAAGAGGCTCAAAGCCTCTTTCAGCCTTCTTGAAAGCCTCCTGGAAACGAATTTGTTCGACTAATATAAGGGGGGATGAAGAGGCTCAAAGCCTCTTTCAGCCTTCTTGAAAGCCTCCTGGAAACGAATTTGTTCGACTAATATAAGGGGGATAAAGAGGCTCAAAGCCTCTTTCAGCCTTCTTGAAAGCCTCCTGGAAACGAATTTGTTCGACTAATATAAGGGGGGATGAAGAGACCCGAAGCCTTTTGTTTCAGTCTCTTGAGGGCCCTCTGGAAATGAATTTGTTCGACTACTACAAGGAAGGATGAAAACGCCCAAAGCTTGTTTCAGCCTCCTGAGATCCTCCTGGAAATGAATTTGTTCGACTAATATAAGGAAGGATGAAGAGGCCCAAAGCTTGTTTCAGCCTTCTTGAGAACCTCCTAAAAATGAACTGGTTCGACTAGCATAAGAATGGATCGAAAGCCAGATTCCACGCGTGCTAACCGACGCGCCGGGCCCAAGCCAGTACGTTCTGTTGCAGAACGATCCAGCAGCATAAAATCACGCACGATCTACCATGAAGTAGTCCAACAGCCTAAGCACACACGCACACGTCCCGACTCCAGCCACTAGCGTGGATTCCTGCCAGCACCCTTAGAGCAGTGATGGAGTCTACAGCAAAAAAAGTGTGGGAAGGTGTCTATGTCCGCTGGCCCGGCGACATCAACTTGCTGGGAGCTACTGCCTTCAGAGTGCCTCCAAGGAAATGGACGAAAGGACGAGAGCGACCGGATTTAGAAAACCGCATTAGCTGGGGTCCCTACCTGTTGACACAGCCCGGCAGCCACCTTGACGATGATTGGGTCCTCGTGAGCGTAAGCGGTAGGTCAGCATGGGCCACACGTATCAACTCATGCGCGGGCCAGAACCCCTACGTGGTGGTTTTGCGACAGAAAGAAGAGCTGCCTGTGTCGACTCCGCAAGCTCGCGAACGCAGCCGCAGCCCCCAAATGAGTGGCACTTCGTGATGTAGATAGCAATCCCGAGCAGCGCGAACGCCGGGGGTGCAGAAAGTCTACTTTGCAAGAGAGGTAGCAAGACTTGCCTCTGCCCGACGGCTGCCTTTTTGCTTGCTAGGACTGTGATGTTTTGCATTTCCTTAACCGATGCAGCATGCTGTCCTTCGTTATGCAGCAAATGAGATGCTAACACTGCAGTACTTGTGCTCGAAGTGTGTGTTGTTAGCGACTATAGGCTCTTGTTTAACAGCTTTCATGGCGGAGCAGGACTATGTAATTGACTCCGACGTCGAGAATGCTTGCGGGGAAACCAGCGACTACTGGCACGCCGAGACTCATCTGCTACGCAAAGCCATCTTGCATGCGCGCGAGCTTCTCTTCCACGGCAACACCGAAATCCATTTTCAGTGCACGATTGAGAAGAATGGTGCCTTGGAGACGCTGAAGCTGTTGTGCGCTCAAGCCGAATCTCCTGCCAAGCACGAGTGTTTGATGGACTTGCATCTCGAACACTCGGCCCAGAGCCGTGAGTATGGACAACTGCTGGCAGCCGGAACTGGAGCCACGGGACCCCTTTACGCCTTCGTCTGTCTGGAACAAGAAGGCGCGGTCACAGGTAGGCGTCGTGGCAAGCAGCACCTCATCGAATTCTTCAATGATAACCTGATCGCCTGGATCAACGCCGCCGGCACGCGAGAGCGCATTCGCGTACTAAGAGTCAGTCTGGTATGTCTCACGCACTGATGGAGGTAGCGACATCTCTCCCAAAAAGGATCCTCAGCGTCTCCAACTTGTGCATGCCAAGGGCCCTGTGCAAGTACAAAGCTGCCGCAGCCACCACCTGTCTTGCAGCCATCTCTTCCTCGAAGCCGCCCACATTTCCGGAGCCAGCACTACAAACTAGAATGTGGCACTACAAGCCGACATAAGTCAAGACTTGCAACACTGGCGATCGTTCCAGAAAATTCATGTCTTCCACTCGCATGGCCGGCCTATATGCAGAGATCGGCAACGCCCTGAACATGCTCATCCAAAACGCTGAAGGCCTAGCGGAGCGGCATTTGAAAATGCGCTTGCCACTTTAAACATGTAATAAAGCTCGCCAGGCGTTCTCTTCGAAGAGGCTTCCAGAGACTGGAAATACATTTACCACCGACTTCGAAAGATGGTCGGACAGCTCTATTCAGCACAACGACGACACAAGACACTCATCACGAAGCAAGGGCTCGCCAAGCTTCGGAAGCAGCTGATATTGGCATGGAAATGCCGAAGACAGAAGCTGTCAGCTATCGCCGCGGGAAGAGCCCAGCTCCACGTGTTGTGAGAAGACCACATTCTTGAGCAGAAAAAGATTTTGCGCACGACTCACACAGACCTACGACGCTTGCCCCTGTAGAATAAAAAGAAGCTGCGGAGTCAGCCTGTCGGGATACAACTTTAACAATTAAACAGGAACTTGTTCTACCTATATGGAAGGCCCGGAGACCTCCACAAGCTTTTTAGCAATGAATTTGTTCTACATATATAAAGCACCCAGAGACCTCTACGAGCCTCTTGGCAACAAGTTTGTCCCACCTGCAGCTAGGGCTCAGAAACCAACACAAGCCTCTTCACCGGAAATTTGTTCTACCTATATGAAGGACACAGCGACCCCAATGACACCCAGAAGCCTCTTGGCCAGAAGCTTGTTCAAAGAGTATGAAAGGCCCAGGCACCTCCAGAACCTTTTGGTACGGAATGTGTTCTACATATATGAAGGGGCCGGAGACCTGCACGGGCCTCTTAGCAAGGAATTTGTTCAACCTGTACGAAGAGCCCAAACACCCTCCAGAAGCCTCTTGGCAAGGATTGTATTGTACCTATAAAAAGACCCGAGACACGTCCAGCACCGTCTCGCAATGAAATTGTTCTATCTATATGAAGACCCAGAAACCTTTTGCAGGCCCAGTGGCAAGGAATTGGTCCTAGTTGTATGAAGGACCCGGAGACCTCCGCAAGCCTCTTGACAGGGAATTCCCTCCACCTAAATGAAAGGACGAGGCACCACCAGAAGCCTCTTGGCACGGGAAATGTTCTGCCTGCATGTAGAGCCCAAAGACGTACGCAAGACTCTTAGCAATTAATACAAGAGGGACGAACACGCCTAAAGCTTGTTCCAGCCTCTTAAATCTCCGGGGAATAAATCTGTTCGAGTAATATAAGAGGAGATGAGACGGCCCAAAACTTGTTTCAGCCTCTTAAGAACCTCCTGGAAATGAATTTGCTCGACTAATATGAGAGAGGACAAAGAGATGTTCTACCTCTATGAAGGGCTCAGGAAGCCGGAAATAGCTACAAGCCGCTGGAAGGGAGTTTGTTCTACTTATATGAAGGCTTTGAACAGCCGAGAGCATCTCTAAGCTCCCGGAAGATAATCTGTTCTACCCATATGGAGGCCCTAGAAAGCTAAAAGCTTCTCCACGCCGCATGGCAAGTCAGCATATGGTTTCAGCAACGTTTACCATCGAGAGTCCGATTCTGCCACGCTCCGAAAACGCTCGGACGAATGCAGCCGCTATGCGATCGACTCAGATTCAGGAATACAACTCCATCAAAGATCATGCAACTTAGCACCTGGCTGCCAGGAACATCATCCTGACCTGCGAGTTCTCCTGGGACGCAGGCTGCAAAGTGACTTTTCGCAGCGTCAGCGGCGATGTGCTAGAGGTCAATCGATGGAGCGACAGGGCCTTATGCCTTTCCACATTTATGTAACTCCTGTGCCACATGCTAAACACACACTCAGGAAATGTCAAATGTCTACGGTGCCGACCTGCATTTCCTGGCCAACGAGTTCCTCGAACAACAAGAACGTCTGCCGAGCACACCTTACCAGCTGGTGCTGCTATACAAGAGCTGCGTTATCCAGGAAGACTGGCTGCTAGCAGGCTGGGACAATTTTTGCATGTTAGTCCTTCATGACACACTCTATATCTGAATCAGAACGATTCCATATTGCGCAACTGCGTTCGCAGGACCCAATTTGCTGTACGAGCCACTCGTGGGAGTGAGAGCGCAAAGCAAAACCAGGACTTCACATTGGCTGCAACGTAGCCGCCTTGCAGAGCTCGGTCGCGCGCGACAGAATTAGAGCAACACCAACACAGACATATGCACAAGAAACATATCAGAAAACGGAGCAAACGCTTCAAAGCAGGCATTCACAGAATTGCTCGAGCAAAACGAGCACCAACAATAGTTTCACCGCGCAACTACCGCGCCCAACGTCCTGCTTTCACCCTGAAAATCAGACCGGTCCATGCACAATCACTACCCGCAGCCCACTAAAATTTATTCTACCTATACAAAAGCTCAGAAATACGAAAGCTTCTCCAAGCCTCCGGAGAGAGTTTATTCTACTTACATGACGCATCAGGGAGCTGAAAGCTTCTCCAGGTCCGTGAAAAAGAGTTTGTACAACCTATACGAAAGGCTGAAAAAGCTGAAAACATCTCCAGACCTTTGAAAGCCGGTTGGCTCGGCATGGGGAGCTCAGAGATGTGCACCCTGTGGTGATCGAACAATCCATCTGCAGCAGCTAAACGAATCAAGCTCGGCGCGCCAGTCCTCCCGACACGCCTAGAGCACCATGGCCAAAAGCATTAGCACCTTGATGCAAAGGCCACCTCGACCAGTGTTACAGCACCGACACTTCCAAGTTTGGAGAATCGCATCTGGGCATCCTCGTCAGATGTAAAAAGGCAAGAGTTCGACAAAGCCCTGAAAGTGCGGCACAGGCACGTTCTCTCGCCTGGCTCCCAGAAACACGTAATCTGCAACGCAGAAACTCTACCGCCGGGACAATTTGGGCACCGAACATGTACACCTGCCCAAGACATTGATCGCCTTAGACAGTGCAGAAGGTCGTCGGCTTAGGCACAGATGCAGATGCGGTCTCAACGAACAAACTGTTGCCAGCGTGCTGCACCAAAGGCGGACCCAACTTGGGCAGACCATGCCAACCGGAATTGAGACAACCCAACAGCACTTGATACGTACCAGGCCAGGTCTGCCAACACGCATGGAAGTCCCATTCTACCAGCATCCGCTCTTAAAGGTCTGCTCAACTGCATGGAGGCTTTAAGCGCAAAAGGAGCCGGCAAGGCGACCAGTGAGGGCAACAGCACGATCCGCGGCAAAAAAAGGACACAGAGCTCAGACCTGCACAAAAGAAGTTTGTTCTACCTATATGAAGAGGTCCAGCACTCAGACCTGCTCTGCGGGACTTTGTTCTACCTATATGAAGGAGTCCAGAGCTCAGACCTGCTCAGGAATTTGTTTCCTTTATGAAGGAGTCCAGAGCCCGGCCCTGCTCAAGAAGAGATTGATCTCCCTATATGAAGGGGTCCAGAGCTCAGACCTGCCGAAGAAAAGTTTGTCCCCCGCCCTCCTCCCGAGTAGCAACTCAGTCGACACATCACGACGGTCTGAAGGTACCAAGGCGACCAAGCTTCGACATAAGCCATGCCCATCGCGCCTCGAAACACACACAGTTAACCTAGTGGACACAGGAACCAAGCTTATTCGCTGCACGGCCATGATCAAAGAATCGCATCGTCTCACCATCCGAGAACAAGCGGCCTGTGCGAATACCCTGCAGGCAAACCAAGCCACATCCCACGTACAAGACTCGATGTTCGTGCTTACAGGCCCTTGGCTACGACGGCGACAACACCTACGTGTGACCCCCACAGGACATCCAAGAGCATCCAACGCCCTTCCAAGCAGACTCCCGTCGCAACCCGTGCAGCTCACTTCCACGTGCCAGCAAGTTCCATCGTCAGCAGCAAGGGGAGCGGTGGTATGGCTGCAAAGCGAACACTGCCTGCGCATGGCTCACATGCATCGAACAAGCGCAAATGCAAGCGCCCGACGAGCCTCACCCACGTCCCGGAAATGAATTTGTTCGACTAATGTAGGAAAGCGACGAAGAGGCCCAACGCTTGTTTCAGCCTCTTGAGAGTCTCCTGTAAAAGAAATTGTTCGACTAATATAAAGAGGGGATGAAAAAGCCCAAAGCTTGTTTCAGCCTTCTTGAGAGCCTCCTGGACCGAATTTGTTCGACTAATATGAGGGGGAATGGAGAGGCGCAAAGCTTGTTTCAGCCTCTTGAGAGCCTCCTGGAAATGAATTTCTTCGCCTGATATGAGGGGGGATGAAGAGGCCCAAAGCTTGTTTCAGCCTTCTTGAGAGCCTCCTCGAAAGGAATTTGTTCGACTAATATAAGGGGGGATGACGAGGCGCAAAGCCTCTTTCAGCCTTCTTGAAAGTCTCCCGGAAACGACTTTGTTCGACTAATATAAGGAGGGATGAAGAGGTACAAAGCCTCTTTCAACCTTCTGGAAAGCCTCCTAAAAAACGAATTTGTTCGACTAATATGAGGGGGGATGAAGAGGCGCAAAACCTCTTTCAGCCTTCTTGAAAGCCTCCTGCAAACGAATTTGTTCGACTAATATAAGGGGCGATGAAGAGGACCAAAGCTGATTTCAACCTCTTCAGAGCCTTCTGATAACGAATTTGTTCGACTAATATAAGGGGGATAAAGAGGCCCAAAGCTTCTTTCAGCCTTTTTGAGAGCCTCCCAGAAACGAATTTGTTCGACTAATATAAGGGGGGATGAAGAAGCCCAAAAACTCTCTCAGCCTTCCTGAGAGCTCCCCGAAAACGAATTTGTTCGACTAATATAAGGGGGGATGCAGAAGCCAAAAGCTGGTTTCAACCTCTTAAAAACCTCCTGGACATGACTTTGTTCCACTAATATAAGAGGTCATGAAGAAGCCCAAAGCCTCTTTCAGCCTTCTTGCGAACACCCTCAAAAGGAAGTTGTTCGACTAATATAACGAGGGATGAAGAGGCCCAGGCCCCCACAAGCTTCCCGAAGAAGAAGTTGTTCTAGCTACATGAAGGACCGAGAGACCTCCATGAGCCTCTTAACAAGGAGTTTGTCCTACCTATATGAAGGACGTAAAAACCTTCAAAAGCCTCCTGTAAAGGATCTTGTTCTACCTATATGAAGGGCAGAGAGAACTCCATAAACGTTTTAACAAGAAATTTGTTCTACCTACATATATACAAAGCCCAGAGACCACCACGCACAGATCTGTAAACTTGGTTGTCATCACGAGTACGCTATGCAGAAAGTCTCATGTCAGTCGCTCTGCAAATAACGGGAAAGCCTCCGCAACCAAGCAGATCAAGAGAATCGATAACTGGGCCCTTGGAAAGCAAGCACGACATGTGCACGCAGGCCGCATGGTCTTACAGGTGGCTTCACAAAGAAGCTTCCTTCCACATTTCGGGACATGACAGGTGGTAATGCTTCCATTACAACGGAGAGAAGGCCGTGCACAGGCGGAATCATCGTCAGAAGATCGTTCAGCATGTCGATGTGCCACACCTGGTCAGGTGAAATTACTTTATGGAACTGCCCGACTGAAGTGCACGTGCCAGAGGGCCACATGACAGGCAGCGTTTCAGAGCAGGTTAGCCTTCTACGCATGTGCGGCATCGGCACAAGAGTCGAGCGTCTGATGACGTGTGGCAAGGAAGTCGGGGGCCCGAGACCTGAGAAGTGCAGTGGATCACCTACACGCTTCCTGACCTGAAGTGGCAGCTGCACGGCCGGATCAATAGTCTCTACCTGGCAGTCAGAGCAAGGCTAAAGCCCCATCGTTTCCGACAGCTATATTGAACGTTTCACACGAACCTATTGGTTCATGCGACACAGGAAGAGAAGTCTCACCTGAGCAGTGTGCCCGTAAAACCGCAGGAAGAAGCACAGCACGTTTATGTCACCTGACACGGCCTTAGCACAGCGACCTCCCAAACCCTAGACGAGTGCCCAATGTGAACATATGCCGCCAACTTCAGCAGGAAAACCGGAGCCTACGTACACAGAACACTCACAGCGGCAACATGTCCGTCGTACTGTCCCGGTTCCCCGGCTTAAAACAAAAGCAGAATCCAGCAACCCAAGGCCCGCACGTTAGTCGAAGCTGCGCCTGAATCGGGTGGCAGCACAGCTTTAAGGAGGGATAATCGAGAACCTGGCTACAGAACCGGTAAAGCTCGAATCACGGCCTTTGCCAAGCAACCGATCGTCAACACATGGGCTAGCGAAAGACAACAAACCCTCGACACCACCGATGCAAAAGCTCCAGCAGCCATCGATGTAAGTGGTCTTACACCTGTAATCACCCAAGCGCAAGCGTTGCCATGTTCGATGAAGCCTACCAGTCCGAGTACGAATATGCAGAGGTCAGCTGGGCAGGCGGACTCAGAAAGGTACAGCTCAAGGAATTTGCTCGTATAGTACACGGACTGTCATCTCGCAGCTGGAAGAGGGCACATGAACAAAACGGCTTCATAGCCGGGGACAATCAGCTACTAGGCCGCGGCTACGAGCACGAAGCCGAGTTCAAAGCTTATCCGGTGAAGAATGGTCCACGCACCGTCGTTATTCGCAGAAGTCCACAAGAACCTCTGATGGTGCAGTGCTTCCTGCACGTGTGTCGCGACACCCTCACAGCCGAGTTCTACACTCTGAGTGGCCGTCGCATGCACCATCCAACAAACTTTCGCTGCAAAGAGGTTAAATTCGACAGGCTGATACAGAAAGCACACAGAGCAGCACTGGAATCAGAGTCCCTCAGATCGCCTCTGCAGCCCGTGCGGCTAGTTTTGCACGACTGTGCTTTCGAACCGACGGGCGACAGTCTGGTGTGGTCACAAGAGATCAGGCGGAGAACTCCGATGCGCAGACTCCGAACCAAGACAGATCTGGCCCCGCAAAACCTGCGAAGACTCCTATCCGAGAGCCGTCGCCATGCGACTTAGCGACTGGTTTCACCTCTCCACTGTGCCCATGCCAAGTGCAAAAAAAAAGAGACCGATGCTACACAGCAGTTTTGCCTAGCCTGGAAGTCGTCCTTGCATCATCTCGATAGTTACGTGAGCCTAAACAACAGCAACACACGACAAATTACAGTCCAGTATCAAGCGCACATAATATCCTACCTGCCACAGCCCCCACCCAACTCGGTTCCACGTATACATGTGTCGAAGCAAACCTCGGCATCACAACTGCATCTGTACCACGTGCACAAAGTCCGAAAGCACGGGCTCGAGCCGTCGCCTGCCAAAGCAGTCACTCTAAAGCCCTGTGAAACCGTAGTGGGCAGAGACCAGCCACCTCGATTTCCACGAAGCGATGGAAGGTCGCACCGAGCCGACGCCTACAAGCTCAGCAAGCCGCTCGACAACAGATTTTACGAGAGGGCACAATCAGAAAGCTCCATGTAGCCCAATATCACCTGCTACAGTCTGAAGCCAACACACAACACAGGCTGGAGCAACGACATAGCCTGGGTCGGCCACGCCTTCGGTTCAACAGAACACGCGCTGAAGATTCGCCCAGTGTGGTTACGTGAAATACTTGAAGGCACAGACCCCGAGCGTCGTGCGCGTGAGGTCATAGCATCAGCCGTGATCGAACGCGTGACGCCAGGTGCAAAAACAGTGGAACTTCGCAGCAAGCCATGTCCATCGGACCGCATAGGGTGCAAGATCAGTTTGATGGAGACCGGGACCAAAACCATCAAGGGAACCGCCATCCTGGCAGAATCGCGTGCCCTTACCGTCGAGGAACAGATCACTTTCGCCGGCGTCCTGCAGGCGCATCGCTGTGTACTTCAAACACACAGCACCCAGACCGGCTCGCAGGCATTGAACTACAAGGCCAATCAGACTTATGCGTGGGTCTTGCAGGACGTTCGCGCCCATCCGGAACCTTTCGAGGCAAGTGTCACAACTCGTACGAAGGAGTGCGGACAAGAGTACTCGCACAGGTGCCAGCGTGGGCGGCGCGTGGAGCCGTGACTTGGCTACGACGCGAGCACTGCCTGAGCCTAACGCGCATGCCACCCGATGCCAGATCTCAGAGAGGCAAGGGCAAACGGAAGCGTCCTACAAGTGTCACCCAACAGTCACAGTAACAGCTTCGCGGCAAACAAAACAGAGGCCGATCCGTGCCTGCTCCTGCATGTGTCACTTCATAGACATCCAGACGCACATGCCTCCAGAACCGACACCGAGCTGACGTCACCGAACCTACTCAGATCAAAGGCACACGCCCTACGTGGACGCAGGTAAGTCATCGTCGGTAGGCACCACAACAGTGACAGCTTCCCGTCCCGATCAGGGATCGGCACGTCCCGATAAGACAACGCCGAAGCCTTGTCGCTTGCTAAGAGCATACTGAAGGTTTCACATAAGCAAGCAACGCAACTTGCTTGATCATCAAACCGACGTCTGCATGCTTGCCGGCATAGCTACGACTGACATGTTGACTTTCCGTATGTAGTAGCCACGGAGCCGATCGGCCTCACCCTAACGAAGTTCCAGACACCCACAAGTACTTTTGCACTTTCCGACCATGCATAAGTATTGCTTCATATCTCCACGTGTAACGCTGCCATTTGGCTTCGTGTAGAACTTGGAACCTAAAGTAGAGCAAGTTTGCCACGGCTTCATGACCAACCGCCTTGCACCTTTGCTCCAAATGCACCCGGTGGAGGCCGCTGTGCTCCGCTGAGCAGTTTTTGTTACGGTTCAGTGTGATTTCATGCATCACTATGCCCAGGTGGCTTCGTCCGAACTGACGGCGGCCTTGTGCAACATCATCCATGAGTTGAAGCGTGCCAAAAAAGAGGAATCACTCGCGGAGCAGGCTGCCGTTTTGCTGGACCTCTCGAACGCCTTGCACGAGCTCCGCCAGAGCTTGTGTACCACTCTGCACAGCATCCGACTGCCTACCCTCGTAGAGCCCGTGATGCAAGCCACACATCTGCAAGCTCTGGCAGCGGAAGAAGTGCCGAACAACTTGCGCCTGTACATCTCCTGCACCCTGGCTGCCTTTTCAAGCAAGGTCGTGGCGCAGATCTATGTCAAGAGAAATCAGCCGTGGGTAGAGGCAGTCCCTTTTGGCCGCCTCTGCCATAAGTGGCGAGTGAAGCAGTTCCAATTATTGCACGAGGGGCAAGTAGTCTTCCCACGTGCTCGCCTGCATGCAATGGTCCCTGAGAAAGGCGAGGCTCTGGAGTTGCAGGTGCTGGTTGGGCAGGAGGCGCATCCCAGCATCAGAGTCGTCGTCGGCAGAACACCACCGGAACTTGAAGAGTCCGGCTTGCCCATGCCCTCATTTCCGTTGTACGAAATGTGCGAGCTGCAGACTCCTGTGCTTGGAGACACCAACCGTCTCCTCTTCGGAGACCTGCTTCTGCGCAAGCCGCATGGGCACATTTCAGCCAGACTCTTGGACCGCTTCAGCCACATGGTGCAGACGGTACCCGCACTAGGAAGAAGACACCTAAACGAGTTCAAAGAGAACTTGCAGGCAACGGACCACATCTTGCACATCCGGGTCTCTGCGGACGGTCAAAGTTTAGCCCTGAGGGCCAAGCTCGCCTATGACCCGCGCTACATCCTCGTGCCCGTCTTGGAGAGCGAGACCAAACCTCCATGGAACAAGAAGGAGTTCGCGAATGTCTGCAATGCCATCCACAGTGCCGTGTGGTGATCCTGGAGCACAGTGAGCACAGACTCGTCTTTTTGAAACATGCAACGTATTGTGAGCAAGCTTCGAAGCCAATTCAATCAGTGTAACATATCTGCAGCCCTTCACATGTCTTACGACCTTAGCATTTGCATGCAGTCCCTTTTGCACGCTTACTTGTATTCCCATTCTGTTGACGTGCCGCTTTGTGCCCAAGTTGCGAAGCTCGCCACGCTTAGCATCATCATGTTATACTGCAGACCGCCTAACAACAAAGAAACGAAAATACGTCGTAATGTGCTGCTCTTCGACTGCCGTGTCATTGTTGTTTCAGCTTCTTGAGAACCTCCTAGAAATGAATTTGTTCGACTAATGTAAAGGGGGTGAAGAGGCCCAAAGCTTGTTTCAGCCACTTGAGAGCCTCCTGGAAATGAGTTTGTTCGACTAATATTAACGGAGGATGAAGAAGCCCAAAGCTTGTTTCAGCCTCTTGAGAGCCTCCTGGAAACGAATTTTTTCGACTAATATGAGAGGGGATGAAGAGGCCCAAAGCTTGTTACAGCCTTCTTGTGGGCCTCCTGGAAATGAATTTGTTCGACTAATATAAGGGGGGATGAAAGGGCCCAAAGCTTGTTTCAGCCTTCTTGAGAGCCTCCTGGAAATGAATTTGTTCGACTAATATAAGGGGAGATGGAGAGGGCACAAAGCTTCTTTCAGCTTTCGCGAAAGCTTCCTGGAAATGAATTTGTTCCACTAACACAAGGGGGGATGAAAAGCTTCGAAGCCAAAACAATCAGCGTGACGTATCTGCAGCCCTTCACATGTCTTGCAACCTCAGCATTTGCATGCAGTCCCTTCTGCACACTTTTACTCCCATTCTGTTGACGTGCCGTTTTATGCCCAAGTTACGAAGCTCGCCGCCCTTAGCATCATGATGTTACACTGCACACTGCCTGAAAAATAGAACGAAAGTACGTCGTAATGTACTTCTCTTCAACTGCCGTGTCATTGCCGTGCACCGGTCTCGGCAGCATGGAAACATCACGAAGCACCGAATCAACTTTAATTGCACACTTACGGCTCCAACTTATCACGCTGCGTCCAGCGTGTCCTTCTGCTCCGGGCCTAGGCCTCGGAATTGCGGAGACTCGAAACATCGCCGCATCTCTTGTCTACTGTTTTACAGGCCAAAACTGTGTCGTCTGAGCTCTGCACGAAGTTAGTGGGCGAGCATGAGCTCGCTGAATCTCTCAGGCCGTCAAACCCTCATGGTAAAGCGGCTGGCTACGCAGCTTGCCCAATTGGTAGCTCCATCGTCCTTGAATGTACATGTCTGCAGTACCGAGGTTGCCGTCCTGGGCATCTGACTCCGGAGTCCAAAAGGTGGCACCGGATCTCACATCAACTGCCGTCTCGTGAATCTGCGAGGCACTCGACACCGAAGAGAAGCTCTTGAACATCAAGGGCTCAGCCACGCCCGTTGTCTTTTATCGCTTCGCCGGTCGCCCAGCCTGCGGCGTACGTAAGTCCTACTGTTGCCACGCTGCCACCCAGGCACTGCTCCAGACGAAGCCGTGTGACAACGTTACTAAACAGTGCTTTCGAATGCGTCTCAGGCTGCGGATGCATCGAATTAACTAATGTTCTTGCACACCTCTTTGCTGCCGCAGGGAAGTCATGGTCCTCGCGGAGCAGCTGAGCAAAGCAGTGCTCGCGCCTCAAAGTCGCATGGTAATCCTGGCCTGTTCCACGCAGTCTGCAGGGGCGACGTCACCTGGGACGATTTCTTCGAGCAGGCGCGACCAGTGCATACGATGAGCAGTCGCTTAGCCACTTGAACCGTGCGTGAATTCTACATGCTCCGATGCTTTAGGTCGATTGATCGCTGGCAGCCCTGAACGCCTTTGGCACTATGTCTGCGTAGACCTTGCTTCGTCGGCTTGTGGACAGCAAACACTTAAGGCTTCATGCCACCAAGGCTTCCTAGAAAGGCATCTGTGCTTCTTCTTGTGCCAACGCCCACCTAGACACCTCAAAAAGCCACAGTCAAAGCCAGAATCAAAGGTACTGAGGCTTGAGTGAAGGCCCACACATCAATTTCCCAAGCCCACCAAAAATCCGATATGCCACTTATACTAAAAACCAGGAAAGAACAATTACTATAGGCAGTCACGAGAAGGTCCAGGTGAAGGGCAGCAGCGGCATACCAACTCGACCAGCCCGAAAACAATGTTCGCCCGCATGCAACTGCTAAGGTCGATTGCGCGATACTCACAAGAACTTGGCATTGGCGCTTCAAGGATCCTTTGTTCTACTTATATAAAGGGCCGAGAGACTTCCAAGAGCTTCTTAGTCTTAGCAAGGAATGTGTTCTACCTATATAAAAGGCCCAAAGTCCACCAGAAGCCCCCCGAAGAAAAATGAGTTCTACCTATATGAAGGATCGAGAGCCCTTCATGAGGGGTCCAGAGTTCAGAGTTCGGAAAGTAAGTTTGTTCCACATGTACAAGCCCTGTATGAAGGGTCCACGCTGTAAGTTAGCAACATCGGAATGAGTAGCAGAGCTTGTCGAGAGGTTCGTTCTTGCAACAGCCGTAGTTCAAGAACTCGCGCATGGATCTGCAGCACGATTGCTCGAGTCTTCAGCTCCGAACTTCCTTGTTGGCGATGCCCATGTATAGCACTCATGTTCGAAGCTCTTCCTGGTCTTGCGTGCAAGACCGAAATCTGAGCGCAAAAGCTTACGTGCGAGGGACGAGTTAGTGTTTTATCACGATCATGGAAAACAAACAAGGAACGTGTTTGTTTAGGCAGAAACGTTTTGCTGCATTGAGCATGTGTGATGTGCCTGCATGTGAACGTTGCTCAAGTCGGAGCCGGGCAGAAAATTTCGAAAGGAAATTTTCGAGAGGGGAGAGTCCCACAAGTGGACCGGGAAGGGTCCTCAAAGAAGGAAGGTTTGCGGTTGTCTCCTCAGCGTGCGAGACAACAATATTTGTGTCGTTGAAGAGTGTAAGCGCGTGATTGCAATGGCATCAGATCAAAGAGATTCTGCTTCGGATATCCACAAGCAAGTGACAGTCTCAGACAGGGTTTTTCCTTGCAAGCTTCGTTGCATAGTCGCTCTTGACCGGGTGTTGGGGCCAACGATCAGCTCCACCCTACTGCTCATGCCTCAGAGAGAGAATGCACGCAGTGTTCGCACCGACACTGCAGGCGCAGTATTACAGGTTAGAAAAGGCATAGCTCTTTCCCGGGAATCCGTGCTCGCCTCAAGCCATGTGCAACAAGCGGAGACACGTATGAGCATCATGTCAGTGCTCAGATGAAAAGAAAGGCAGGTGAGGCAGACCTGCCCTGGGACACACCTCACGGATACATTTTCCGAATGCAGGTACAAGCGAATGATCGTATTTCTCATAACACGGCCGTCACGCTCGACATCCAGCTTAGTTGCAAGGACATTGTGGATCAAGCGAAGTGGCTTGTTGCTCAAAGACTCTTCGAGCTGTTTGGTCGTTTTCCGAAGTTGAGTTCTTTTCACCTGGTTCAGGACGGCAGGCACCTTAGTTTTTCAGCGCCAGTGCTTGTAGCGAATACGCTATCACCTGTGATCTTCGTGCGAAATGCCTAAAAGCAGGAGTCTGCAGTATGTGCTCTGCGGTCTTGCTTCCGTCGCAGAGAGTTCCAAGTGACCGCAGTGGCCCATCTGACATCAAGCCGCACAAGGCGAATCCGAGGTCCCCGGTGTCGCATGGAAATCGACAGCTCGGATTACAGCGGCGATAGCCCAAGTACGCTCAGTCTCGTCAGCAGACATGTTACTGAGCTCGAGCGCCGAATTTCCACCATCCAGGCGCATGTTAGAGCGTGCGAAAGGAGGATACTCATTCTTGAACATCGCGCAGAAGCAGTCGAACCTGGCACCCCACTCAACGCCCAGGGTTACTTGCCCTGGTTCATCAGATGCTGCTGGAGCCGCGCACTGCCCTGACTCACCATCAGGGTATGTCTGCATCATCAAGGCAATCGACAGGCAGTGGGTCGGTCACTGAGAGAACACCTGCGGTCTCCCTGATGACGCGAGTTTGAATAAGCAAAAGTGTGCGTTTCTAGTGCTCCAGAGTATTGTGCAGTTCTGTCAGGCATCCCAGCGGAGATGTGTTTGTCAGGGACAGCTCCAGGAACAACCCGTAGACTGCAAATGTAGCCGTATGCAGCTCAGACACCATGTCGGCAAACAGTGAAGAGGTTTTTGAGCGGGATGAAGACATGTCGTCCTGGAGTTCGGCGTTCGCGCCGGTCAGTAAACCAGCAGATTCTCCGAAGAGCAAGCGCAAGAAGCATAAGAAGCGGAAGAAGGTGAAGAAGAGACACTCCACGACACAGGAGCGCAGGCGATGTGACAAAGAAGAGACCAAGAAGCGAAAGAAGAAAGAGAGGAAGTCGGCATCAGTCCCGGAAGATGCCGACAATCGGGCAGAGCAGTTGCCCTCCTCCAGCTACACCGCCCGAGACCCTCAGGAGCAGGAGGGTTCAGCCCACGAAGGGCTTCCCGCCAACTTGGGCAGGTGGGTCTTCCATGCCTCTTGGGAACCGACAGAAGAAGGAGACCAGCCGGAAGCGCCTCCCAAACGCAGTCCGGGGAGAGCAGCTGCGAAGATGCTGGTTCGCGCCGGCCTTCGCTGTAAATGTCATTTCGCTCTCGACTGCCCCTCTCGAGAAGGCAACAGGCACGGTCCCCAGAAGTCACTTCCTGTCGTTTTCAGACACATTCCTTGAGCAACTCTGGCCCGCGAGGGATCGCTAACACGGGCAACTCGTGTTCGAGGCCAATGCAGTGACGTGCAGGGCTGGGAGAGTTTCCTGCGTGAGCAAGACGCACCCTCGCAGAAGCCTATGATGTTTATGCTACTCGAGCCGGCTCAAGAGCTTTCAGTTTTCACCTTCGTTTCACCCTCCGTCTCACAATGGTGACGCCATTCAGCTTCGGCGCATCGCCCTACCTCCCCACTCGCATGGGCAGAGGTCGCAGAGACGACTCCGACTCCTCTGACAGTGAGGAGATGATTCCGACGATCTACGGGCTCATGCCCATGAGGCGAAAAGCTAAGAAGAACCGCAAGCACAAGAAGAGCAAAGAGTCCAAAAGAGACCGACGCACCAAGAAGAAGGCGTCGAAGAAGCGCGCACCCAAGGCAAAGAAGAGCTCGTACAGCTCTGAATCCTCCTCGTCCTCGTCTTCGCCGGAACGCCGCCGCCACAAGCGCAAGGAGCGTGCGGAAGCCGCTCCCTCGAGCCACAAGGGGGAGTCTTACCACACACCGTCCTTTACGAAGGACCATTCCTTTGGAAGTGGCAAATGGGGCGGACAGAGCTCCGGGTGGAAGCAGCCAGGCTGGCACTCGAACAAACAATGGCAAGCCAAGTCTTGGCAGCCCAGAGGCTCCGGCAAGCCCTGGAACACTTGGACGGCGCATGAGAAGGGTTACCAGTGGAAGCTCCCCGAACAGGAAGAAGAAGCCGAAGATAGGGAGGAAGCTTCCATGCAGGAAGCACTCATGAAGAGTGCAATGGAGGAGGCGTGGTCCGACCGCACTCGGACTTTGTCCTACAGTGAACTCCCGGCGGATCAGCGCGGCCCCCCCTACAAAGAAGTCATGGAGAATGTGGAAGCTGATGACATCGAGCGCATGGCCGCGCGGATCAAGGAGCACTCCCGCCTCCCGGAGGCAATGATCAACTATGTGTCCCGGTTCCTGGCCTCCCTCCCCGACGGGACGCTGCCGCAAGAGTTGAAATGGGCGCAGCATTCAGGATCGCATTTCTCCGCCTCGATCCTCGAACTGGAGCTTAAACCCGACATCGCCGCGCCGGAGCAGCTCCAGATCCCGGACCCCGTCCACTCGCAGAGTCTGACGGCCGCTCACGGCACGAAGTGGTCCTCGGCTCACGGCATTTTGAGCCAAAAGATCATCCGCCCTCAAGCAGCTCAGACCGACCAGTACCCGCCATACGGGTTCTTCGCCCGTGGCAGCTGCGAGCAGTACTCCTCGCACACGGCAATGAAGGCCCTGGAAGGGGTTGCGAGGAAAGCAAAGGCCTCGGGAAGTGGCATCGCAATTTTGGTGTCCGCAAGGGCACACGCGGTCCAACTCTTGGAAGGAGGCGTGGGCAAGCTTCATGCAGCTTGCAGAAGAGACTGGGCGGCGCGATCCTCATCGGACCAAAGTCTGTGCATCAGGTCGGAGGGCGCGACCATAAAGGCCGTGGCGTTCATGTGGCCGCGGTAGTTGCCTCCAAATCTTTTCATCTAGTTCAGTCCGAGGGACTCGAACGACCTCGGGAGATTTTGTTGTCGGGGCTCCCGGGATGATGACGAACTGCGCAACCACCGCCGAGAAAAGAAGCCGAAGCTGCCGCTTGGCTTGGAGATTGCACCCACTGAAGCGAGCATACTCCTTCGGATCATCGGATGCTAGGAAACTTGATGCATTCCCAAGGAAGACCGCCCGCGCCTCAGCAACGTCAAGCCGTACTTGAGTCATGTAAGGGTTCCAAGCATCGAGTGTCAGGAAAGACAGTGAGGGAGCATCCCAGAGAAACTGCCCACAGAAGGGCGAAACTGGCCCTGAGTGTGCCGCGGTAAATCGCTCTGGGAGTCAGAGCTGTGACGTTTCGCGAAGAAGCAAGCTTCGCTAGAAGTCCTCCGAGCAGAGGAAAACGCAGCGGGGAGATCCGCAAAACTCGCCGTCGCATGTCGCAGTTGTTTTCTGCTGAGCCTCTTGCCGTGTTGCCTTTGTCCGTGCAATTTCCTCGTTTGTCCCTGCGTTCTGCTCGAGCAAGCCGTGTCACAGTTTGGAGCCACGCTGAAAGAGAATGTATTGCCAGGACGGGCCGAGGAGCCCTTGCTAGATCACGAGGTGGAGTAGCCTCACAAAGAAGCGAGCCTACGGCATTTAGGGAAACTGACAGGTGTGTCGTGTCAGTCTCACCCAGCAGCATGGCGGAAGAGAGTGAAATCGACAGGCTGCTCGATTTGGAGCGGCTAGCAGAGTTGGAAGATCCAGGTGAGTTGGATCAGTGGCCAGAGCAGGAACGGCCCGAAGCAACATTAGCGCTCACGCCAGCTGAGTCAGAGCTTTTCTCTGCATCGGCCAGTGCCCGGCCCCAAAACCAGCAAAGTTCGCCGAGCGGCGTGCTTCAAGGGCGCGAGTACGAGCAGGCCCTGCAAGGCTGCTTGTTGAGGGCTGCTAAACGGCCAAGAATAGTCATGCCTTGGGAGACCCCCTTGATGCGGGACATTTTTGGAACCACTGAGCCCCCGGTCGTGGTGCCGCAAGCTCAGTTACAAACCACAGCCCCGCCTTCCGAGCCGGACCGAGACCCGGGCGAAGCCATTGGCAAGATACTTATGCCACCCAGAGCGGGGGCGTCATCCGCTTTGTCGGCAGTCAAGAACCGCCCCAACGTGAATTTCCCCAAGAGTGAACAAGCTTCAAGACTGAAGGGAATCTCTCTGTGGTGCGACGTCATAGGGGTCGCTCCACAACACTTCGGCATCACCAGGCACGTCCAGCTATCGGACGAAGACAACGGCGGCCAAGTCGCCACCGAGCTTTTCACGTGTGTCGATGCAGTGATGGGGGTCAAAGCCCCATCCACCATCAACTCTAGAGGGATGGTTGTGAAAAGGTACCTTTATTGGTGCACGCAGAACGACAGGTTAGCATGGCCGATGAAGGAAGCAGTGTCGTTCGATTATGTCCACCACCTCAAGGCACTTGGTGCTCCAACCGCTCCGGCCTCATTGCTGCAGGCGGTAAACTTCATGATCTACACGATTGAACCCGAGGGAGCAACGGCCATCATTTCCAGCTTCCTGATTCAGGGAGTGGCTAAGCAAGCCTCGAGCAAGAAGAGACCATTGAAGCAGGCGCCGGCGCTTACCGTCGCCATGGTACTGCGCTTGCACGCCATCCTCAGGAACACATCTGAAGGAGTTTTTGACCGGCTAGCTGCAGGACTCATGCTCATGTGCGTGTATGGACGCTGCAGATGCTCCGACCTCAGACACATTGAGGAGATATGTCTGGACATTACAGGGAGGCACGGCTTTATCGAAGTCCGGACGGAACATCACAAGACAGCCAACAGAGAAAAGAGAAGGCTCCTGCCCATCGTAGCTCCAGCCTTTGGAGTCACAGACGAGAACTGGGCCGAGCAGTTCCTAACCTTACGGAAGCAAGTCCTCGGCGAATTTGCGCCCGGGCCATTCCTCCCCGCTCCTCTTTCTGACGACTCCTTCTCTGAGCGCAGCCTCGAGAGTGACGAATTCACGTCGTTGCTGCGCTACCTACTAAGGCAGCTGGATAACGTAGAAGATCTCACGTCTCACAGTTGTAAGGAGACGGTGCTGGCATGGATGGCCCGCTTCGGGGCCGACAAACCCACCTTGGAATTCCTAGGTCGGCACGTGGGGAGCATTACGTCGAGCGACGTGTATGCCAGGGGGATGCAATCCCGGCCTCTGCGAAAGCTCGCGATGGCTCTAAACGCCATACGGGCGGGTACATTCCTGCCCGATGAGACAAGAAGCGGTCTCTTCAGGTCCCGCCAGGACAGCCGGCCCATCGAGACGGGCATTAACTCCCGTGGGGAACCATCAGAAACGACGTCTGCCTGGAAGGTAGTCTCGAACGAAGAAGAAAGGAGTCCTGCCTCTCCTGATCGAGACCAGGAAACAGCATCATTGCCGTCGGCAGCACCAGCCCCGGTGTCGGAGGAGGAAGCCAACAGCGGTGCTGAGGTTCCAAAAGAATCCGGTGCAGGCAGCACGTCGGATTCCTCGGACAGCTCTTCCTCAGAGTCGGAATCACAATCTTCCCAAGAATCAGCAGTCATGCCTCCGCCGGGGGCCGGCAACTTGTTTTTCCTGAATCCTAAAGGGAAGGTCCACATACTGGCAAACGAGTCAAGCCAGACTTTTAAGTGCGGCAGGAAGTGGCACGGCAGCATGATACCTGTCAGGTCACTAGGGCAGGGAGCCGAGACCTGCTCGCAATGTGATCCGAGTGCTTTTCCAATTCGCACAAGGGCGGACCTTATTGAAGCGATCAACAAGAAGCTCAAGCGGTGAATAAAATGCACCTCCAGTAGTTGAGAGTGAGTTATCGAGTCGAATCTCAGCTGCGGTGATGCCGCAGCCCCCCTTTTAAGAATCAAGAGATTGGCTAAAGCCTCAAATCATGACCTCACTCCTGGACAGCGAAGCTCAGTTCCTGCAGCGCGCTGCTGAGCTTGGCATACCGGATGCGGCGGCACAGGCGTTCAAGAGGCACGGTTTGGCGACACTCAATCGCTATGGTTTTGCCCACGGTCAGCCGGGGCAGCCGATCGACGAGACCCTATTCAACACCTTTTTCGAAGGCATCGCCGGGGTAGGGCAATCGCTGAGAACATTGTCAGCAGCCAGGAACCTTCTGTTTGAGGCCCACGTGTTTATCAGCGCCAGCCTCAAGAACAGGGTTGAAGCGACGGCCGACACAGCAAAGCCGGTCCCGAGAGCGGAACGCAGCGCGAGGCTCGACAGCCTTCGTGCAAAGTACCCAGGTCTCGAAATTTCCAAAGGTCTGGAGCCAGGGCACGCCATGCTGGATTCGGCCTCGCATCAAGCTGAGTCCAAAATACTCAAGTACATGCCGCCCTCCAGGTGTGCATCCAGAGAACAGGAAATGATGAGCAATAAGTCATCGGCCAAGCTCTTGGAAATTGAGGGCTCACAGGTCAAGGTCAAGGAGAACGACAAAGGACTGTTCATCGAGAACAATACCGAGTTCCTGGTCTACCAGGCACTACGCAGGCGCGGCTTGGCATATGAGTTCGCGGATCTCGTCACATTCACCGTCCACCAGAAATGGGTGGATTGGCTGTTCGGAGAACTATCCAAAGAGCAACCGGCCCGGTTCCAAAAAGTTCAGATGTTCCAGATCCTGCGAGCAGACAAGGCAGCCTGGCTTCACATGGCTGACGTGGTAAAGGATATCAGACCGTCAGACGGCACTAGACCTATCGACGCCGAGTTCGCCAGGTTGCCCACGGTACACTCGGTCGTGTTCGCACTCCTGCCCTTGCAGCAGTTCAGCCCAAAGGGAGGTGACCAGAAGGGCGACCGGGCCGGCAAGGGCAAGAATGGCAAAGGTTGGAAGGGCAACAGGCCGTCTCCGTATGACATGCCGCATCAAGACACGTGGTTTAGTCGCAAGGGAGGCAAGGACCGGAACTCCAAGGGCAAAAGCAAAGGGAAGGGCAAGGGCAAGCACCAGCAGGATAACTATGAGGCTCCTCGCATGCCCAAGCTTTTGCTTGGCCTTCACTACAAGTGCCCCACGTCTGGGAGGCCCATCTGCTTTGGGCACAACTTACCCGGGGGATGCCCCGCGGGGAAGAACAACGAGTCCGAATGCGACCGAGGCTTGCACATTTGCTCCAAGTGCCTGGGCTCTCACTCGTACAACCAGTGCCCGCAGCGGCAGACGAACTGACCATCACAGACAGAGGGCCTCTATCCCTCCTTGAATTTAGGAGGGAAAGTTTTCCAGTCATGCTTCGCCCTCGAGCTTTTCGCGGGCACCGCGGGCATCACGGCCGCCATGAAGAGTGTCGGCCTGTCAGCAAGTTTTGGCATCGATAGTTTTCTTTCTCCCTCTAGAAAGGGGCCGGTGATAAGGTTGGACCTTTCACTTGAGGCCTCTCAACACCTTGTTTTCCAGATTTTAAGTTCAGATCAGCTAGTTTTTGTGTGGATGGCGCCACCTTGTGGAACGTGTTCGCGGGCCAGGGAGATCGCCATGAGCACCTCTCGCTACGGACCAAGACCTCTCCGTTCGGATGATTTCCCAGACGGACTGCCGCATCTACTTGATCACGAAGCAGAACGTGTGAAGAAAGCAAACGAGCTGTACAAACTTGTGACTCAAGTGTGCATTAGATGCACGGACAAGCAACTCCCCTGGACGGTGGAGAACCCCTTCTCCTCCTTGTTCTGGCGAACCTCTTTCTGGACCGAGGCGCAATCTCGGTGCAATCCGAGATATGTGCAATTTCATTCGTGCATGTATGGAAGCGATCGCAAGAAGAACACCGCTCTGGCCTTTTTCGGCAAAGTGCCTCTGGACAGACTCCATGCTGAATGTGACAACAGCCACGCTCACAAATCATGGGGATGGTCCCATGAGGACCAGACCTTCTCCACTTCTTTGGAGTCGGCGTACCCGGCCAAACTGTGCAAGCAAGTGGCTCATGCTGTCAAGGATGCCTGCGAGGCAGACAATTTTGTCATGGAACCTCTAGACATGTTGCGGGCATCGCAACTGCCGCTTGCGGCAGAGAAAGTCTCAAGAGCAATGGCATCCGAGGGTACCACGAAGTCCAATCTACCCAACTTCGTTCCAGAATACCGGGTGATTCTCAAGGCATTCATTCCGAGATCTTCCTGTACGTGGCGCATCAAGGATTTCATCGAGCACCCTTTGATCACCCCGCAGGTCACCATTCCCGAAGGCTCCCGTCTGCTGGAAATCTCTCCCAGAACAGAAGGGGAGAACTCCACGATTCCAGCAGAAGCGGACACAATCTGCACATTTGGAGTGCCTTGGAGCCCCGGCGAGTTCCTGAAGGAAGCGGCGGGAAGAGGACACCCAGCCGACGCGATCTCGACAGTGCCTGAACCACTGAAAAGATCCATTTGGGAACTTGCGGCTGACGATCCATCGGCGGTCGCTGAAAGGCGAGCGTCCTTCTTCCGCAAATGGATGTCGGTTGCTTCGGAGCTCTACGAAGAGGAAAAGGCCTTGAAGGACTCGATGGACGAGGGAGTAAGGTCGGTAGTAAAGGACAAGAAGATCCTGCTCTTCAAGGAGATGGTGAACGCATACGAGCTGAACGATGCTGAAGCACACAAACTCTTGGAAGAAGGTGTTGACCTTACGGGCGAAATTCCGATGTCGAACGACCTGCCCAAGAGGTACACCCCGGCCACGATCCATGAGAGCGAGCTCGAAGCTCTTGCTCCGGTCCTCAAGGATGCAGCGCTCTCAAGGGCTCTTGGAGCCGCGGAGGGCCTATCCAAGGAAGTGTGGGAGAAGACCATAACGGAAGTTTCGAGGGGATGGCTCAAGGGACCCATGGAGCCTGATGATGCCGATGCGCCCTCGGTCGTGTCTAATCGCTTTGGGGTTAAGCAGAGGGACAAGGTACGGTGCGTCGACGATATGTCGGCTAGTTTGATAAACGCTACCACCTTCGCGGAGGAAAGGATATCTCTTCATTCCGTAGATGTCATGGCTTCCGCTGTGGTTGAGTGGTGCGACGCCAGAGACGCCGCGCAGAGGCCTCGCGACTTGACCGCTAAGAGCTTCGATCTTAAGTGGGCCTTCAAGCAGATGGCAGTGTCGGCGAGCTCCAGAGACAGGGCGGGACTAGTCATCAAGGACCCGTCTGGCTGCCCCAAGGTCTTTACATCGCTGGCCCTGCCCTTCGGGGCCACTCAGAGTGTATACGCCTTCAACAGGATGAGCAGGGCACTGTGGACCCTAGGAGTCGTGGCCCTCAGTCTCATGTGGACGGTTTTCTTTGACGACTTTTGCCTGTTTTCGGAGCCCGCCCTGGAGAAGAGCTCGGACCTGGCTGCAAGGTCCCTCTTCGATATCCTTGGATGGGTGTATGACACCTCTGGCGAGAAAAACACGGTCTTCGGTAGGACACTACACGCTCTAGGAGTCAGCGTCAACCTGAGACATCTCACCAAGGGATCGCTACTCATCAGCAACACTGAGGCAAGAATCAGTGAGCTCGTGAGCGAGCTCTCAAACATTCTCGACAGGGGAAGAATATCGAGATCCGAGGCCAGGCACATGGCGGGGCGAATGAGTTTCGCCGGAGGGCAAATCTTCGGTCGACTCCCGAAGTCCTGTCTTAAAGTATTCTACTCCGTTTTGGAACGGAACTCTACCGCAATTGACGGAAGCATCTCCGCAGCACTTCGGATGTACATTGACATCGCTCAGTTCGCCCCAGCGAGGACGATTCTCCTGGGTCAGAGGCCCTGCGTCTTTATATACACTGACGCGTCCCTGGAACCGACTAAGGAAGGAAACGTCGCGGGAATAGGCGGAGTCCTGTGCGGACCCACTGGAGAGCCCCTGAGGTTCTTCTCGTACTTCCCTAGCTCAGCTGAGCTTGCTGAGGTGGGAATAGACCTAGAGTCTAAGTGCATCTTCTTGCTCGAGTTGGCTGCAGTCTGCTTGGCGTTCAAGGCTTGGGGCGAGGCCCTCAGAGGAATGAGAGTCGTATGCTACTGTGATAATGAAGGCGCCAAAGCCTGCCTTATGACTGGAGCAAGCGCTAACAGAGTCGCAAACGACTTGCTGAAGCATCAAGCCGCATATGAGCTCAAGACGGGGACTGTACCCTGGATCGCGAGAGTCCCGTCAAAATCGAACATCGCGGATGAACCCTCGAGAGTTAGGATCGAGGCTCTCCCAGACTTTCCCGACGCAGTACGGTCCACGGTAAGCGTCGATCTTATAAAAGATGGGGAGAGTTCTCTCCGCTTTCAGTGACCCGATCTGTCGGGACAAAGATCTTGGAATGACTCACAAGGACGGAGACTTCGTCATCCCCACATGGAAAAAGAGAGAGCGATCTGCGTGGAAGATATTTGATTGAAGATTCTTTTATTGAAGATATTCCATTTGATTGAAATTTTCTGCCGGTCCTGTGAGTGATAAGCTTACGTGCGAGGGACGAGTTAGTGTTTTATCACGATCATGGAAAACAAACAAGGAACGTGTTTGTTTAGGCAGAAACGTTTTGCTGCATTGAGCATGTGTGATGTGCCTGCATGTGAACGTTGCTCAAGTCGGAGCCGGGCAGAAAATTTCGAAAGCCCGCCCACCCGCACCTTTTTCTTCAGTCATGCGAGTCTTACAAATTCCAGAGATCTGGTGCACCGTCAGCTTGTACCTGAGGACCAGAAGACAACGTCGCCTCAGCGCGACTGCCAAGGTCTTCCGAGCGCTGTTCAGGCGTTGGTTTCAACCAACAGGCTTCACTGACAGCAGCGAGTACGAAGAGGAGGAACCAGAAACCTCTCCTGGCAATTAGTCCACTTCTCAGAGAGCGCACAGCCGAAGCTTCGTCACCCTGTCAGGCTGTAACCTCTAAGGCTGAACCTCTGAGCGGGGGGGGAGAGTTCTCTCCGCTTTCAGTGACCCGATCTGTCGGGACAAAGATCTTGGAATGACTCACAAGGACGGAGACTTCGTCATCCCCACATGGAAAAAGAGAGAGCGATCTGCGTGGAAGATATTTGATTGAAGATTCTTTTATTGAAGATATTCCATTTGATTGAAATTTTCTGCCGGTCCTGTGAGTGATAAAACACCAGTATAGCCGAGGCACTTGTAGTCCTGGCCCCTTGCACGTGTGCCGCGATCACAACGTGCCATTGGCGGAGAACCCTCGGTGCTCTTGGGGGCAATCGGTCTTCATATGCCGGGTCCTCGATGCTCCGCCACAGGTAGGGTGTATCTCTCAGGTTAGCTCGACAAGGCCAGCGATGTGCCGCAGAGGCGGACTGGTTTGGGGAAAAGATCTCCGAGTCGCTAACCGAGGAAGAGGACCTTGCAATAATCTTCAGTGTGTATCGTTATGTACCACTGCAAGTTTTCAAAGGACACCGCAACTGAAATCAGTACTCGAGTCGGGGGCAATCTCTCGAACAATGAGCATGAGGCGGGTATATTTATCGAAACTGGCCTGAAAAGGTCAGAGGCAACACTTGCGAATCAAAACAGTGCTTCCGTAGAAACCGACATTCATTGTAGCTCCCTCAAGAAGACTGTTCTTTGTGAGTCCAAGTCCACGCTTCGGGGTTTCGAGGATATGGGCTCGACTCTGTACTTCATGTACTTACCTTGGCAGGCGAACCTCAGCAGAACAGTCCCACGACTGGATTGTCAGATTCGGACTGCCGGTTCTGGGGCGGCTCTCGCCGCGTCTTTACCGAAAGGACCGAACACCTGACATCGTGCGCCGAGAGAAAGCTCAGCCGTAAACGTCTGAAGCATCATCGTACGAAGGGAATTGCAGCCAAGACGATCCAACAAACTGTCATGCCTCATGGTACTCGAAAGGCCAGCACGAGGCTCTGCTGATTTTAAGCTCGAAAAGGTATACGTACCACAGCTGTAGGACATGAATCCAACAATCTCTGCCAGACAGAAACGTTTCGGCTCAGAATACCAACGAGTATTGAAGACGCACAATCAAAAGTCCTATCAACCGCTCGCCATGGCAGAAATAACGATTATCAACTGGGCAGACGGCATCAAGGAAGAACAGCTCATCGACCTGGCCAAAGTGGTTGCTGTCCTACCCGCACAGTCCTGGCACCGTGCTTACATCGACAAGACGCGCAGAGTCATCCACGTGCAAAGAGCCAATGAGCTTGACATCCCGACCCACCTGGACCTCCCCCAGAAGCACTTCAAACACAACCTCTGCGCAGATGGTGGTTTTCTGACATGGGCAATACCTACGGAATCCAGCCGTCGTGCAGTCGTCTTCAGACGGATTCCCCGCGGCGAGTTCATCGTTACCTGCAACTTGCAAGCCCAACGCGACTTCATGCAAGCTGCCTTCACCACTGCATTCTCTTGCGAAGACATCGGCGAGGTGAATTGTTTCGGATGCAGAAATGTTACAATGGCCACCTTAGTGAGAAGAGCATCCAGAGCAGCTGTACGAGCCGGCAAACTTCGCTCCCAAAATCAGCGCATCCGAGTGGTGCTTCGAGGTCACAACCAGCCTGTCCAAGCCTCGGCAATTCTGTGGTCAAACGAGATTCGACAGAGGCCAGCCAAACGTCGACTCCGCATGAAGACTGACATGTCCGCGCACAATCTCAAAGATACCATGCAGAAGCTGCAAAGCAGCTGAAGCGGCAAGCACCCAGAGAAAGCCAGCAGAAAAAAGAACACATTCGCATTCAGCAGCCTGCTGCATGAGTTACATCCCCACCTACCCGAGCCTCTCAACAAGCAATTTGTTCTACCCCTTGCAAAGACCCAGAAACCCTCAGAAGCCTCCCGAAGAGGAATCTGTTCCGCCTGTATGAAGGGCCGAAAGACTTCCATGAAACTCTCAGAAAGGAATTTGTTCTACTTATACGACAGGCCCGGAAACCTCCAGTAGCTTCCCGAAGAGAAATTTGTTCTACCTATATGAAGAGCCGAGAGACTTCAATGAGCTTCTTAACAAAAATTTGTTCTGCCTATATGAACGGCCCAGAACCCCCAAAAGCCTCCCGGAAAAAAAAGGAAACTCGTTCTACCTATATGAAGAGGTCCAGAGTTCAGACCCACTCTCGAGGAGTCTGTTCTACCTATCTAAAGAGGTCCAGAGCTCAGACCTGCTCAGGAGTAATTTATCCTACCTATATAAAGAGTTCCAGAACTCAGACCTGCTCAGGAGGACTTTGTTCTACCGAAAGGAAGGGTCTAGAGCTTAGACGTGCTCAGAAAGACTCTGTTCTACCGAAATGAAGGGTCTAGAGCTCAGACCTGCTCAGGAGGAATTTGTTCCAAGGGGGGATGAAGAGGCCCAAAGTCTCTTTCAGCCTTCTTGAAAGCCTCCTGGAAACGAATTTGTTCGACTAATATAAGGGGGACGAAGAGGCCCAAAGCCTCTTTCAGCCTTCTTGAAAGCTTCCTGGAAACGAATTTATTCCACTAATATAAGGAGGGATCAAGAGGCTCAAAGCCTCTTTCAGCCTTCTTGAAGGCCTCCTGGAAACGAACTGGTTCGACTAATATAAGGGGGGATGAAAAGGCTCAAAGCCTCTTTCAGCCTTCTTGAAAGCCTCCTGGAAACGAATTTGTTCGGCTAATATAAGGGGGGATGAAGAAGCCCAAAGCTTCTTTCAGCCTTCTGGAAAGCTTCCTGGAAACGAATTTGTTCGGCCTATACAAGGGCGGACGAAAAAGCCCAAAGTCTTTCAGCTTTCTTGAAAGCCTCCTGGAAACGAAGTTGTTCGACTAATATAAGGGGGGATGACAAAGCCCAAAGCCTCTTTCAGCCTTCTTGAAAGCCACCTGAAAACGAATTTGTTCGACTAATATAAGGGGGGATGAAGAAGACCAAAGCCTCTTTCAGCCTTCTTGAAAGCCTCCTGGAAACGAATTTGTTCAACTAATATAAGGGGGGATGAAGAGGCCCAAAGCCTCTTTCAGCCTTCTTGAGAGCCTTCCGGAAACGAATTTGTTCGACTAATATAAGGGGGATGAAAAAGGTCCAAGCCTCTTTCAGCAGTCTTGAGAGCCTCCTGCAAACGAACTTGTTCGACTAATATGACAGGGGATGAAGAAGCCCAAAGCCTCTTCCAGCCTTCTTGAAAGCCTCCTGGAAACGAATTTGTTCGACTAATATAAGGGGGATGAAGAAGCTCAAAGCCTCTTTCAGCCTTCTTGAAAGCCTCCTGGAAACGAATTTGTTCGACTAATATAAGGGGGGATGAAGAGGCTCAAAGCCTCTTTCAGCCTTCTTGAAAGCCTCCTGGAAACGAATTTGTTCGACTAATATAAGGGGGGATGAAGAGGCTCAAAGCCTCTTTCAGCCTTCTTGAAAGCTTCCTGGAAACGAATTTGTTCGACTAATATAAGGGGGGATGAAGAGGCTCAAAGCCTCTTTCAGCCTTCTTGAAAGCCTCCTGGAAACGAATTTGTTCGACTAATATAAGGGGGGATGAAGAGGCTCAAAGCCTCTTTCAGCCTTCTTGAAAGCCTCCTGGAAACGAATTTGTTCGACTAATATAAGGGGGGATGAAGAGGCTCAAAGCCCTTTCAGCCTTCTTGAAAGCCTCCTGGAAACGAATTTGTTCGACTAATATAAGGGGGGATGAAGAGGCTCAAAGCCTCTTTCAGCCTTCTTGAAAGCCTCCTGGAAACGAATTTGTTCGACTAATATAAGGGGGGATGAAGAGGCTCAAAGCCTCTTTCAGCCTTCTTGAAAGCCTCCTGGAAACGAATTTGTTCGACTAATATAAGGGGGGATGAAGAGGCCCAAAGCCTCTTTCAGCCTTCTTGAAAGCCTCCTGGAAACGAATTTGTTCGACCTGGAAACGGGATGAAAAAGGTCCAAGCCTCTTTCAGCATTCTTGAGAGCCTCCTGCAAACGAACTTGCTCGACTAATATGATAGGATGAAGAAGCCCAAAGCCTTTCAGCCTTCTTGAAAGCCTCCTGGAAACGAATTTGTTCGACTAATATAAGGGGGGATGAAGAGGCTCAAAGCCTCTTTCAGCCTTCTTGAAAGCCTCCTGGAAACGAATTTGTTCGACTAATATAAGGGGGGATGAAGAGGCTCAAAGCCTCTTTCAGCCTTCTTGAAAGCCTCCTGAAACGAATTTGTTCGACTAATATAAGGGGGGATGAAGAGGCTCAAAGCCTCTTTCAGCCTTCTTGAAAGCCTCCTGGAAACGAATTTGTTCGACTAATATAAGGGGGGATGAAGAGGCTCAAAGCCTCTTTCAGCCTTCTTGAAAGCCTCCTGGAAACGAATTTGTTCGACTAATATAAGGGGGGATGAAGAGGCTCAAAGCCTCTTTCAGCCTTCTTGAAAGCCTCCTGGAAACGAATTTGTTCGACTAATATAAGGGGGGATGAAGAGGCTCAAAGCCTCTTTCAGCCTTCTTGAAAGCCTCCTGGAAACGAATTTGTTCGACTAATATAAGGGGGAATGAAGAGGCTCAAAGCCTCTTTCAGCCTTCTTGAAAGCCTCCTGGAAACGAATTTGTTCGACTAATATAAGGGGGATGAAGAGGCTCAAAGCCTCTTTCAGCCTTCTTGAAAGCCTCCTGGAAACGAATTTGTTCGACTAATATAAGGGGGGATGAAGAGGCTCAAAGCCTCTTTCAGCCTTCTTGAAAGCCTCCTGGAAACGAATTTGTTCGACTAATATAAGGGGGGATGAAGAGGCTCAAAGCCTCTTTCAGCCTTCTTGAAAGCCTCCTGGAAACGAATTTGTTCGACTAATATAAGGGGGGATGAAGAGGCTCAAAGCCTCTTTCAGCCTTCTTGAAAGTATCCTGGAAACCTATTTGTTCGACTAATATAAGGGGGGATGAAGGGGCCCAAAGCTTCTTTCAGCCTTCTTGAAAGCCTCCTGAAAACGAATTTGCTCGGCTAATATAAGGGGATGAAGAGGCCCAAACAAGCTTGTTTCAGTCTTCTCGAGAGCCTCCTGGAAACAAATCTCTTCGACTAACAGGGAGGATGAAGAAGGCCCAAAGCTTATTTCAGCCTTCTTGAGAGCTTCTTGGAAATGAATTTGCTCAACTAATATAAGGGTAGATGACAACGCGGCAAGTAAGCAAAAAGGTGCAGCCAGACAGCAATTTGTCACGCTTTGATGTCTTCACGACTCCTTGTTCATCAAACAAAAGTTGAAGTCACAGAGAAAGTGTTTCTCTTGCGTTGATCGTAGCCATTTCAGCATCGCCTTGCTCATAGCTTCCAGTCTAACACACACAAGCATCATGGCAGAGCAATGCTTGATATCATTTGTTCCTCCAGAGACCGCCGTCGATGAGGCAGAGTAGTGCCACAACACTAATTCCAATAATCGTGCATATGTATGAATTGTTCTTTGTAACTCTGCAGGTCTGTCGTGTTCCGGCCAAGCTCTTCCAAAAGCCTCGAAAGGGGAGCAATCAGAAGGGCACAGACACACACATTGTGTGTTTTGACTTTCTGAAGTCCTTTTGGGACCATCTGAACGCCCAACAGCCCGGGACTTAGTAGCACTGAACAGACAGTGTGATCATTTAATGCATCCTATATTTTAGACGATGTCTGAGGCAGCAATGCTGCATGCAGCGCCTCGTCCAGCAGTACGTTGCCGGCAAAGAGGACAGGATCCGACACCAGCGTTTCTAGCTTAAGATTACATGTGCCCCACGTGCCCAATGCAGGACATTACATTGAAAATCTGCACATGTTGCCTGCCGAAAGTGGCAACGATGCAATGAGTCTGAGAGGCACAAGAGCTGCAACAGGAATATGGACTGAAATGGTCTGTGCGCGATCATTGCCATATCTGAGTCTAGAAATTTTCGTCGAACGGCATAACAGTGAGTGGTCAGCGCGTTGCGGTAGCCATTCCAGCGATCAAACAAACAAACGAACAAACCTCCTGCTTTCTTGCCATGCCAGTTGTCCGAGCCATGCTGCCGCTGGCCTGGCGTGATGACGTGGTGATTCTTTGGAGCCAGCCAGTCGAAGTGAACCTGAAGGACGACGATGAGTACGAGAGGCTGCCTGCAAGCAACGTCGTCAAGCTTCAGCGACCTCGTAGCTGGCAATTTCCATCTCGCACCAACGGCCTCTACCTGCCTGTGACCAACGAGTTGCGCCGCTGTCGCATCACAGCAGCAAGCGGCCACCCCTACTTCTGAAAGCTGACTGCTGCGTAAAACAAACAAGTTTTTTCAAGTGTCGTTGCGGCTTCAGTGCAGCTTCATAGCAGTTCATAGCAAGTTCACTGCAGCTTGATGGCAGGTTCACTGCAAGTTTATTACAGGTTAATTGCAAATTCATAGCAGTTCATGGCAGCTTCAGTGCAGGTTCATGGCAAATTCACTGCAAGTTTCTTGCAAGTTCATTGCAGGTTCATAGCAGTTCATAACAGCTTCGGTGCAGGTTCATGGCAGGATCACTCCAGCTTCACTTCAAGTTTATTGCAAGTTCATGGCAGGTTCATAGCAGTTCATAGCAGCTTCAGTGCAGGTTCATGGCAGGATCACTGCAGCTTCGCTGCAAGTTTATTGCAAGTTCATGGCAGATTCAGTCCAGGTTCATAGCAGTAAATGCAGCTTCAGTGCAAGTTTATTGCAGGTTCATGGCAGGTTCAGTGCATCTTCATTGCAGGTCTAATATAAGGGGT